CACACACACCCACAGAGTCTCTGTATCTTTCACATTCACCTCCCAACACATACTTGTATTATTATTGTTGTTACTTCTCGGTACTTCCTGCAATGCACAGATATTCTCTGTAATTTTATTCTTTCAAAGTGCTGTTATTTTAGTTTTTTTGCCTGGTCTGTGCATTTGATAAACTTAATTGTAAGAGAAATAAAAATTAATTCTTTGAGTAGTGAGTTCTAAAATGACTAACCTGTCCTGGCTGGAGTAATTAGGCCTATGGTAACTTAAAAAAAAATTATATCTAGGTTTTTTCGTTTCTACTGGTGGCGCACATCCGCACATACCTCGGTGCACATAACAAAATTCCGCACATGGATGGAAAAAATCAGAGGGAACATTGGACTGGCTGCCTGTCTCAATTCTAACGGAGCAGTCTCATGTCCTGCAAAATATACTAGCATGCCCCAAAATGTCCTTGAGGGCTGGTGCATCATCATCACACCCAGATGTCATGGTGCAGTGTACAGTTGTCACGATTTGATGATATGTCGTCATGATGTGATGATGCGATGTCAAGATGTTGCAATACAAATGCCCTGGTGCAACACATTTGTCCCACTTCAGCTGAAGTTAAAGAGCCAGTGTACTCTGACTGGCAGAGCTCTGCCCAGATATGTGCCCTAATGCCCAAGACACAGCCACATTGCTGAAGGGTGCGTCTTCTCACCAGCTGGGACAGAGCAGAGCAGTATTTTGCTTGAGTTGCTTATTAGCCCAGGATTGTACCTGAATTTCACGTAGTGTAACAGGTCACAGACTGATTCACTTCACCTCATAATTGCAGGTTCCCATCTCCCATGCCCAAAACAAAACTGACACCCACCAGCTCCTTCCACATAACCCCCCCCCCCCCGTCAGATGGTAGCAAGGAGCCATTTTTAATGTGGAAGCCTCTTTTTCCTTTTGTGTTTAAGAAAATGGTGCAGTTCAGCAAATTGTACTGACATGACCGGTCTTACTGGACCATTAGTTTCTACTTACATCTTTACCTCTTAGTCCGGTCCCTCCTGGTTTCCCAGGTATTCCTGGTTCACCTTTCTCTCCCCTCGGACCCATTTCCCCCTGGAGATAAACAGTGAACACAACTGTTGCTTTCTTCTACTGCATTTTGTACCCCTGATATTCTAGGCTGCGGTGTGATGTGGGTATCTCTTTCTCTCTCTATGGCAGCTGTGTTTAGGGATGTGAAACAGACCCAGATCACTCTGTTAGGCATCTAAACATCTCACCTGCGTAAGGTTTGCAAAAGAGGCATTCTATATTCATTCTTATCATTGCCCACTAGCATTACCATGTTCCCTTTGTAGGCCGTGCTGGAGCCCTACGCATAAGTAACAGTATGAACCAAAGGCTGTGAACCGGAGCAGGCCGGGCTTCAGCACAATAGCAACGCACCAGGTGGCAGCTAACTACGTTAGCACATTCCTGTCTGGAAAGGACGGTACAAAAAACACACAGCTGTCTCAAGTAACTATGTAAACACATTCTTAAGGGATAGTACAAGAACACATCGACCCCTCAAAGATAAGGAGGGAATGACAGGATAATGGATGAGGATATTTTGTTCTAACTAGCAGGTACAAGGATAACAGTTCTAGCTAACAACATCTGGAGAGTAATACTTAACTTGTTTGTATCAATGTATAAAAAGAGAAGTCATAAAAGGAGCATCTTTGTGTTAGCCAAGGTGACAGGGCCCTGGTGTCCTGATTGAGCTGGTCCCATTGTCGCGGGCATACATGTTTGAATGTACCTGTAATCATGGAGCCAGGGTGCTAGTACCATGCTTCCTCGATAATAAGCCTGGCCCAGTGTCTTCACCACCGAACCAAGCCTGTGGCCGTTCTTTATGAGTGACACCGAGGTTTGCTGAATCAGTACGCTGCATTCCCGGCTAGTGCAGCTAACATCGGAGCTCCAAGACTGGGCAGCCTTAACAGCTCTCCAAAGCACTAACGTCATCCTTCCTGACCCAAACACCCTTCGCCTCTCTCCACTGGCTACCCCACTTCTCCACCACATTGAGTTAAAACGTCTTGTCCTCACCTTTGCTCTTCCACTCTGGCCTACATCTCCCAATCACCTAGGTGCACCCTCCCCCTAGCCTCCAAGTGAACCCATCCCAAAGCAGCCCACGGTTCTTGTGCCATGTTTGGGGAAGGACCAGTCTCCCAAAACAAAATTCCCCTTCAACAAAGTCTAGGGAACACCATGAGAGAAATATCATCGTTAAGCAGATCTTCTGCACAAGGGGCCCAGATTGACAGAGGCACTTTGGGGTGGTGGGGGGTGGGGCAGCTGCCTGAATATCTTTGTGAATCTGCATCTAGGCTTTTTTCAGTGCCCTCGTCCACTGGTCTGGCACTTTGCAAAGAGACACAGAGATAATTTTGAAGCCAACCTTTAGAAGATATTTCAAACTGGCGCTCTATGTCTCCAGAAGGGATGGAAAGTGGGTTACATTGGGATCGAGGTCTCTCTAGGTTTCTGCACACGCAGAAATGGCCTGGACACCTTCCTACTGGGGTGTGTTAGGGTTAGGCAAGGGGAGAGTACAAAGAGGCAGTTTTAGCCTGTCGTCTTGCAGTGTGCAGGGCTAATGGAGATTCCAACAGAGCCACAACTTGCCTTGAAGCCTCTTCAGTCTTTACAGCTTCCCTGCCCCACGAATGTCCACTCTAATCCCACTTTAACGGCATCATTTTTTACGTTGCAAAACCCAACTGATCAAAGTCCATTTGGGCGATACCAGCAAGAGTTGTGATTTTGCTTTGCACACTCTGCGGTCTGTGCTCACTCACCTTTGGGCCAGGTTTGCCGGATAAACCTACATTCCCCTGCGGAGAAATCAGACCGTAAGTCACTTGGCAAGAACAATACCCATAGATGTCACTGAGTTCTGCTCTCACAACCCTAGCAAAACACAATCAGCAGCAGATACAACTCACGGAAGTAATTCCGAAGACACCCTAGGAATTAGGGCGCTGCAGCCAACATGTTTAGACCTGGCCAGAGTCCTAGAGTTTAAGGCCAGAAGGGACCTGACCAGATCACATAGTCAGACCTCCTGTATATGACAGGCCACCACTCAGCCATCCCCACACCCAACCCAACAGCGCTACAGCCCTCAGGACACTAAACGGTGGTGAGCCACAGGCAGAGAACAGGAGGGACTGTGGTGCAGCCATGCCCGAGGTCCTTGCAATGGCAGGGACCTGATTAAGGCCCGGCTTGACAAAGCCTTGGCTGGGATAATTTAGTTGGTGTTGGTCCTGCTTTGAGGTCTCTTCCAACCCTAATCTTCTATGATTCTAAGTAATAGATTCAGGTGGTGCCCCTGGATCTGCACTACAGGGGGAACAGGAGTACTTGTGGCACCTTAGAGACTAACAAATTTATTAGTCTCTAAGGTGCCACAAGTACTCCTGTTCTTTTTGAGGATACAGACTAACACGGCTGCTACTCTGAAACCTGTCACTACAGGGGGAGTTCACCTTCACCTTTGCTCTGCAGTCCCACAGCCTGGGATGAGCTGCCCTGTAATATGATTGTGCCCTATGGGCTCTGTAGAGTGTTTAAGGTGCATCGTTTTTGTATCAGAAGCTACTGGATTAATTTGCTAATGACAGGCCATACGGGGTGAGGCCAGACATTTCACTCTTAGTGCAGCCCCACTGACTCGTCACGTTGATTTCAGTGCAGGTGCCCAGAGGTAACGGAGCAGAATCAAGCTCAGGGGCTCTTGTTTTCTGTCCTTTCCCCTCTCGGTTCCCATTCATCGCATGGCCCCCACTCACCCTTTCGCCCATGTCCCCCTTCAATCCCGGTTGCCCTGGAATGCCAAAACCTGGACTTCCCTGAGGGGAGAGCAATGAACACAAATGCATCAAATTCACCGTGCTGCTTGCAGTAAAACATAATGATTCTTTTGCCCTCCTCCCTTTTCCTGCCTCCCTAGGAAGACTGAGATGAGACGGTCTCTCCCACCGGGCATCAGCAGCATTCAGCAACATGCAGGAATCCAGACCTGGGCTCGGAAGCCAGCATGGAGGTTTTCAGGAGGAGGCAGTTCTCATGGAAAGGCCCTTAGCTCTTTTGGGCTAGTATCCGCCATGAACATCACATTGAACAAGTCATAGCTGGGGGCAAACGCTGCTGCTAGAATTCTGATCAGTGAACGGAGTGAGTGCATCACTCTTGTTTCACCATCATCACACCAGCTGCCTGTGGGACTCTGCGTTAGCATCACCGGTCTGCTCTCAATCTACTAAAGCCCTTGAGAATTCCCCTCCCCAAGCACCAGCTAGAGGTTGCCTGCCCCTGCTCCCTATGTCACCCTGCTTCAGTAACATGTCATGCGGTGTGTCCATTGCTTCAGCCCTTTATTTCCCCCATCTCTTGAGCCCACCCACTCGGGGTTCAGAGATGCTGACCTGCTTCCAGTTCATACTATAATTACCAGACAGTGTGCTTTGTGCTGCACAAGATACAAAGGGAGATACAGTCCCACCCCCAGACAGCTTCCAACTCAACAGACAAGCCTTTGCGTTTAGGGCCAGACGGAAAGGAGGCAGCTCCCACATGATGCATTTCCACCGAAGAGAGGTAGGAAGTGAAAGGAGACGTATTGCTGGACCTCAGGGCCTCATTGTCACCCTCCTGCCTTACAACATATTTATCTCAAAGTCTTTGGCCTCAGTGTGCCACTGCAAACATCAGGGGCTACCATGCATGGACCGTGCACACCAGTTTGGCTTAATGAGAAGCTCAGTCCACATTGTGGCCTTCTTCGCGAAGACCCACAATATACAATTTGAACCAATAAAGGAACTGAAAATTTCCAGTGCCACAAGCACGGCCTTTACCTTCTCTCCTTTATCTCCTTGTTTTCCTTTGTTTCCCTGTGGTCCTGTGGGGCCGACAGGTCCAATATCCCCCTAAGTATGAAGAAGTCACAAAGTTAGTAACGTCCTAGCCAGGGCTTGCCCTTCCTGTGTGACTGCTGGAATCCATGCAATGGGTGGTTCAGTTTTCAATCCACTCTGATGACTAATTTCTTTGAGAAATCCACCCATTTATCTTCGGATTTTATCCTGTTGCCCATCACCGTAGGATCTGGGTGCCTACTATGTAAAATCAATATCTATAGTTAAGTCCCTAGTGGATTTCATGGAGTCAGAGGCTCTGAAAATAATATCCTTAGCTGTGAAAAACTGTGTAACAGGGGAAGGAATTAGCAGAGTTAACCGGACTTTGCTCTCACTTGCTCCAATGGAGTTAAACCGGTGTAACTCCTAATTCACACTGGTGTAAATGTGATGAGCATCTGGCCCAGGAGTTGTCTGCTATGAAGCTTCAAAAGAGACTGGTATTTTACCAACAAAAATTATAAAAGGTCTGAAGAATAGGACGTATGAGGCAAGGAGAAAGCTAAGGACCTCGCAGACCCCTCTGCCAGCGCGCCACAGAATGGAATGAAATGTTTTGAGACCCAGACAGCAACCAAGAGAGCATTGCTAAGTCCCAGAATGGGAGGTGGGCCTCATGAGAGGATCCATGTCTTACAGGAGTGTCCCACAGAATGGAAACAGTTGGAGAACAATGGGGATAAATGCGCTGGGCATGCTCAAGCTTGAAGAAAAGCAAAGCAGCAGTTTGTCATGTTGCAAAGGGCGGTGTTAGGAAGAGGAGTTGAGGGATATATTAGCTTTCTTAGTCAACAAGAGCAGACCTAGCCAGGAGGGCTGCAGCAGGGAAAATGTAGCCTAAGTTCTGTAGTTCTAAGTCTGGCAATAAGCTGCTACGGCAGTGGTCCACAGACTTTTCAGGGTTGCACCCAGGGCCAGCTCCAGGCACCAGCCGAGCAAGCTTGGCGCGCCCCGCTAAAGCCCTGGCTGCCCCCCTTCTCTCTCTCCACCCGCTCCCTCCCCCTTTCCCCCACTAGCCAGGACACGTCTGCAGCGCAGGGAGTCCCCCTGCACCCTGGCTGCGGCCACCCTGCAGGGTTTCAGGGTTTTTTTTTTTTTCCCTGCTTTGCCGCTCCGGCCGCGCCACAGGTTTTTTTTTTTTTTTTGCTTGAGGCGGCAAAAAAGTCAGAGCCGGCCCTGATTGCACCCCACCCAGGAGCAGAGCCCCGTCTCGGGGCCAAGGCTGGGGGCAGGTCTGGGGTCGGGAGCAGAGCCCCAGCCGGGGGCAGGGCTGGGCGCAGGGCCGGGAGCCGTGGCAGGGGGCAGGGCCAGAGCGGAGCTGGAAGCAGATCAGGGCTGGGTGGCGCTCCCGCCCTGCCCCCCCACCAGGGGCTGGATGGGGCTCTGCCATCCTCTCACCTCCAACTAGGGGGGTGCACCCCAGTTTGGGGACCACTGTGCTAAGGAAAGTACCAGCGTTAGAACATTCCATACCGGACACATCCAGAAGAGTGGGGAAAAAAGGGAAATTACATCAATCCTGCCGTCAAGTAAGTGCCTGGCATGGCTAATGCAGCAGGCGGTCTCTTCCACCTCTAAGAAGTCCCTGGATTTTGGAAACCGAGTTTACTCTAGCAATGTCAACATCTCTCCACTCTAGACAGAGTCCAGAGTCTGTCTGGGGCACTAGATCTGTGCTTTACTAACCCCCTTAACCAGTACCCCACAATCTAAGCCTTTTCCACAAGCTGACACTGGAAACAGAATAGCTGGAAGCAAATTTACATCTACCACGTGTCTAGATGTTATGTGAGGGTTTAAATTTGCTTGCATATAAACAAGAGAAAGATTAATGGGGCAGAATCATCGCTGATCATGTGTCATTATACCCAGACTTTGAATACAGCTTCCATATGAGGAGAGACTAAAAAGACTGGGACTGTTCATATTATAAAAGAGACTTGGGGAGGGAGGCGGATATGCTAGAGGTCTATAAAATGATGAAGGGGGTGGGGAAAGTGAATAAGGAAGTGTTATTTACTCTGTCATACAACACACAACCAAGGGGCCACCTAATCAAATTAATAGGCAGGAGCTTTAAAACAAATGTAAGGAAGTACTTCTTCACACAACACACAATCAACCTGTGGAACTCATTGCCAGGGGACGTTGTGAAGGCCAAAACTATAACTGGATTCAAAAAAGAATTAGATACGTTCATGGAAGATAGGTCCACCAATGGCTATTAGACAAGATGGTCAGGGTCACAACACCATGCTCTGGGTGTCCCTCAGCTTCTGACTGCTAGAAGCTGGGACCGGATGCTAGGGGCTGGATCACTTAATTGCCCTGTTCTGTTCAGTCCCTCTGAAGCATCTGGCCCTGGACACTGTTAGACAGAGGATACTGGCTAAATGGACCACTGGTCTGACCCAGTATGACTGTTCTTGAATTCCAATCTCTGTTCACTTGAGCTCTGTCATTTCATGAGGCCAGGTCTTCGTATATCCCAGGAATCTCAGTGAGTAACATGGTACTCAGCCCTAGTCTTCTTAGACAAAGGTCTCATGCAAGTTTTAAAGTTGTTCTGCATAGTTAACTTACTCTGGCACCCTTCTTGCCTGGAGGTCCAACAACCTAGGAGAAAAGGAAGCCGCATAAGTGTCCTCTTTATTTAGAGGAATTATTTCCCTGCCACAGGTGGATATTAGAATCATAGAAGATTAGGGATCTCAGGAGGTCATCTAGTCCAACCCCCTGCTCAAAGCAGGACCAACCCCAACTAAATCATCCCAGCCAGGGATTTGTCAAGCCGGGCCTTAAAAACCTCTAAGGAAGGAGATTCCACCACCTCCCTAGGTAACCCATTCCAGTGCTTCACCACTCTCCTAGTGAAATAGTGTTTCCTAATATCCAACCTAAACTTCCCCCACTGCAACTTGAGACCATTGCTTCTTGTTCTGTCATCTGCCACCACTGAGAACAGCTGAGCTCCATCCTCTTTGGAACCCCCCTTCAGGTAGTTGAAGGCTGCTATCAAATCCCCCCTCACTCTTCTCTTCTGCAGACTAAATAAGCCCAGTTCACTCAGCCACAATCAGATCATGTTACACTGGGGTTTTACAGGGGGCGAGTGGGGGAGGACACAACTCAAATTTCAAAGCAAAATAAGCTCAGTCTACTTCCGTTACCTCAATGGGGCCCCAGTCTGGATCAGGGCCTTCCAGGAAATCGCATATTACAGAAGAAATAGCAGTAATCACTAATGTGGAACTCAAAAAGAAGAACAGGAGTACTTGTGGCACCTTAGAGACTAACAAATTTATTAGAGCATAAGCTTTCGTGGACTACAG